CTGTAATGCCATTAGGGACTATTAGGAACTGGGCAACCTCGCCTCAGGCTCCTGCTGGCCCACATCTGAGTTCACCTGATCTTCCCTCTCCAGGGGGACACGGCCTCTGCATGTGCGACGCCACGCAATTCCAGCCCGCTTCTGCGCCCTTGCACGCCGATGGACCAGCAATGGGCCAGAACCTTTCATTCCCCCTTTAAGGGATTCTGCTAACATCAGCTGCTGAATCTCGGTAACCCAAGTGGCCGGCATCACTGTTCTCTGAGCTTATGCCGTCTCCTCGAGGGGCGTGGCAGCCCGCGGCAAACACGCAGACTCCAAGGCAGCACGTGAAACAGCAGGCCGCCTCACCTGCTGCTGCAGGTGGCCAGAAAAACACTGCTGTCCTGCATTGTGTGGACTAAAGTATTCTGCAGATGGGCAGAGCAAATGAAGGTATCCAGAAGGTAAGTAAATACACTCAGGATTGGATGCAAATTGGTCCAATCAACCTAGCAACTGTGCAAGGTGGAACCAGCCATTCTTAGACTTCCCAGGATTCACAGCTGCAGAACATTTTTGGTGCTCTTGAGAAGAACCCAACATGTGCTGTCTCCCACAAGGAGCTCTCCACGGAACCACAGCACCGAAACCAAGCAGGTCTTGCAGTGCAAACCCAAAGGGCCCTGGCCTGATCTGTTCTCTTCTTTGCTCATGGCTTTGCTGCGAAAGCACAAGCAAGAGGCAGCTCAATAGAAAGGGATGGAAAGTCATCCTTCAACTTGGTCTGTGCTCAGCAGGGTACACTCCCTCCCTCTTTCCTGAACCTGGGTTACAGGACCCAGATGCCATCCAACCCCCCATGAGCTCCCTGCCCTTTTACAATGCCCAAGAACTGCAGAAAGATTAGGCTTGCCACAGTCCCTGCCTTCGCAACAAGCAAAACAGTAAATGTCCCCCCAACTCTTCCCACCCCCCACACACACTTAGTAACTGTTAGTGGGACACTTCCTGCTAGACTTTAAAACAGATAATACACTGCACAACTGGACTGCTTTCACGATTCCCTTTTACTGCTCCCCCCGCCCTAACCTCACCCCAAAATTGTTTGATAAGCAAAATCTGCAAGTTCCACCCTTCCAATGGAAAGCAAGGGAAGCAAGTCCAATGGAAATTATTTGCCCCCATTGGCTGGGCTCAGGGCAGCACCTAGCACTAAAAGGGGACAAGACCCGGATGGCAGCCAAGCCCCCAAGAACTCCTGCAAAGCACTCGCCTTAACAAGAGAGCTGCTGCAGTGTTGCCCCATGTTCGCAAGGAGAGGACACCAGTCCCCCCACCTTGGGAGCCTCATTCTTACCCTCCCATATGAGGACTGGCATTTGGTCCAACAACATGGGACCAACTTAAGGGTTACAAGATGAAGCCGCAAAAACTTTGCACCCTTTAAAGGACCATACATCTTCCGTATATTTATTAGAGCCATCACTCAAATAAATACTTCTTATTCCAAAAGCCCCAAAATCTAGGAAGAAGTTTGGATGGGGAACATTTCGGACGTGATTCCTATGGGGTGCAGTGGTTCAGAGAGTGGGTCTGGGACTCAAGCAAGCCGGGTTCTTGTCCTTGCTTGGCCATGGCGCCAACTGGGTGTCTTGGGCCAGTCACTCACTCTCGGGCCAGCCTATTTTATTTGTTTATTTTATTTAAAGTTTTTGTATGCCGTCCCCTTGCTATATAGCCTACCTCGCAGGGTTGGTGTTGTGGGGATGAGACAGAGAGCAGGAGAAGAATGATGCAAGCTGCTTTGAGTTTGCTATCAGAAAAAGCCTGGCGTGACCACGTTCAAGGCACAGCTTGCCCGGGAAGTCAGAGCGAGCTGCCCAGCCGCCCCACCCCATGATAAGGGGGGATCCTTCGCCCGACCCATTAGCGCTTCCCACGGCAGCACCTCTGCGGGCCCTGAGCGGTCTCCTTTCAAGTAACTGGAAAGCCGCAGGCTGGTCTCCTCCGCCGCCACAGGCTGCAGGCTGCAGCCCCTCGCCGCAGGGGGAGGCACACAGCGGTTGCCATCCAGTCCCGTGGGGTGGCTCGGCCGGCGACAGGGGAGGCGCTTCCATGGGTGGGGGGCTCTGGACACCGCCCCGGCACCACATCCTGCCAAACCACGCTTGCAGAAGCTCCCGGCGCCACTGCTCGGCCCGGCTGCTGGGAACAGTGCGCCGCTAGCAGGAGCCAGGGCAGCGGGTGGCCAGAGGGCCCGGCGATCCAGGCCTCAGCCTGACTTTGGGCCAGGCCCTCTCAGCTCAACCTCCCTCACGGGGCTCTTGTTGCACGGATAAAACGGAGCTGGGCATGCACCATGGGGTCTGCGCAAGAGGAAAAGGGTGGGGCTACACGCCATTTAACAAGACGAAGCAGCGGGTTTTCCATTCTCCTCTCACTAGGCCCCTCCCATAGCTTTGCCAGCATGCGCTTGAAGAGGAAGGTTAGTATTTCCAGTTCTTATAATGGGATTTGTAGTTCCCTCAGGTGTTTATCGGAGCAACCTTGCTCTGCATCAAAGGGCCGTTGCCAAGAGAACAGGCCTGCTGGGTAGCTAGAAATCCTAAGTAGGCCATCTGTCACGATGGGTTAATTTTAAGACCTCATAACCTTGAGGGTGGTTCCCTGAAGGGAAGGAAAAAGATTTGCTGCAGCACGTTTCCTGCTCCCCAGAATGACCCCTTTGCTGGCAGGGCAGCCACAGGGAGCCCCTGCGGAGCCTGGGCCTTTGGGCCCAAAGCAGGCGAGTGGGGGCGCGAGCAGGGAGCGCTCCGGCACTGCACACAACTGGGCCTCAGTGAAACACCTGCAGGGTTTCTGGGACGCGCATGGAGGCGGTGCTGTTCTTTAACGCATGCAAGTTCCAAGTCCTCAAGGTGTGGAGGCAACAACTCCCCTGCCCGGGGTGGGGGAGGCAAATGGGAAAACACTTGCCGAACATGACAAGGGTTCCTGCTTTTTATGCTGTTAAGCCACCTGCTTTACAGGCACCCCGTCCCAACGAAACAGGCAACTGTGGCAAATCCTAACTGGGTGACCCAAGCGGCACAAGGCTGCCCAAAGGCTGCTCGGCGCAAAACCCTCCCTCAGGTCCTGAGGTGCTCGGCAAAGGCCTCCGGGGAGCCCCAGGGGAGGGGCAGCCACAGCTCGGCCAGGCTGCTCTCCCGCGACGCTTTCAGCAAGCGGGGCAGCCCTTCCACCTCCAAAAGTGGCTCCTAGGGAAGCCTGAAGGCCGCTCTGGGGCCCTCCGATCGGCCCTGCGTGGAGAAGGCCTGGCCGTCAGGCGAGGGAGGGGCAGAAGCCCATGCCAAGCGGGACGCGCCCGCCTGCTGCGGGACTCTTGGTGGCCGTGCTCTTCGAGGACAGCGGTCCCTCGGGGGAGTTGGTCTCAGAATGCTTAAGGGCTTGGGAAGGGTGCAAACGAGAAATGAGCCCCCACCAAAGAACAGCACAAACTGCAGGACAGAACCGTCCGCGTCGGCAGTACGACAACTTCTGAGCTCTGCTCATCGGCAGAAGCGGCCGGGGATCCGGGCCCTCCCAGCACGCCAGGATGGGCTGGGGAGCACCAGCACCTCTACCGTACCCGGGGGCAGCCCACCTGGCCCAAGGTGGCATCTCCCTTGCTGGGCTCCCTGTTGGATAGGTTCCCTGCCAAGCGGCCCCCTCCTCCTCCTCAACTCAACTCAACTCAACTCAACTCAACTCAACTCAACTCAACTCAACTCAAAGGTCGCTCGTCGGAAGCAGGATGTGTCCCATGGTGGGGCACCATGACCTGCGCCACACAGGATGCCTGGGGGTGGCCGCCCCCTTAAGGATCTATGACAATATGAGCTCGGGAAGCTCTCCTTGTGCTGACCCTCCCAACAGCTGGTAACCCAGGTGGAGCAGTGGCCATTTCAGCACGCTGGGATTCCTGCAAGCTCCCAGCTTGCCCCACTGCCAGGCTAAGCAGTCCCTTTCACATGCAGAGCATTTCCCAAATGGGGTGTCCCCCCGGGGGAGGGTAGTTCAGGGGCCTCAAAGACGAACTGCTCAGCTGCACGCTGGGTGGCAAGAAAAAGGAAGGGCACTGAAGAGGCTGGTGCTTGTGCTATCACATGAAGCCCTGAACAGCTTGGGACCAGGGCACCCAAATGACCGCCCGCTCCCGCATGGACCTCCCTGGTCCCAAAAACCTGGCCTGGTGAGGAGGCCCCTCTGAGAGAGCCACCCTTTGAGGAGATAAAGAGGGTGGCAAGCAAGAGGGGCCTTCTCGGTGGCTGCCCCCCATTTCTTCATTGGCCCATTTGTGGATTGGCAGTTGGCTGGCACCATCTTTACAATTTTTTTGGTGCCAGACAAAAACAGTCCTCTTCTCCAGTCAGTTTAACAATTGATTTTGTATTATGGTGCTATTTATACTGGACTTAGTTTCAATATATTTTAACTTACTGATCTTTGACCCCCCCCCAGCGGCATATTCTCTGTTTTATTGTATGTTGCTTTTATGTAAAATTGTTGTAATCTGCTTAAAGAGTCTTCAGACTAGTTATAGTGACATGTAAGTTCATCATCATCATCATCACCATCTGTGTTTCACCAGCCCAGCAGCTCTCCAGAAGGAAAGAGGGCAGCACACAGCCCCAGAAGGAGCAGGCAGAAAACAGGCCCTCCGCTCACACCAAGTGATGCCACGGGCTGCAGGGCCATTTTCTGTAGCCCCCTGGCATCCCCATGCAGAAACCCAGCCTGAGTCACTGGCAACCCCACCCATCCTCTCCTGGACTCCTCACACCTTCCCCCTCATACCAGCCACCCCATCTCAAGCCAGTGAGAGCCACTGGGCCCATTCTACAGCCAGGAACGTGGCAATGAAAGTCGGAGGAAGGCAATCTCCATGGGACCTTACAGAAAGGGGTCAAAGGCAGTGGCGGCAGGGGAGAAGGGAGGACGAACCAGCTGGAGAAATGTTGTCCACTTATGCAACTGACCTGCCGGTTCCTCTCGTCTGTAATCCTCTGGATCTGAATCTTTTTTCTCCCCATGTTCTCTGAAGATCTTAGTAATAAGGAGTGGCTTAAATGTTTTAATGTCCAAAACTTAAAGTGAAAAACCTTGTTTTTCAAAGTGCTGTCATCCAAAAATACTTCTTAAAATCAAAAAATAGAAAATTATAAAAACAGTTTGTGTCTTCTTCAGTTCATGATATTCCACTTGTCTGTATAAATCCAGGTGTTTAGGGCTTTTGTGGTGACAAAAGAAACCTGCAAAAAGAAAAAAAGGAGAAGGGATAAAGGAACTGAAGTTACAGCTTAGCAGAGTTGCCCTTCTTATGGGGTACATTCAGGAGCTAGTCTACACATCACACCTTGGCCAGCTGCATCAGCCAACGCTTTTTAATTTCAAAAGACAGTCTCCACTCATAGCTTCCAGATCAGAATTTGCTCAAGAGCTTGAGACCCTCCACACAGGACACAGAGAGTCAAACTAAACGGGGCTCTGAGGTTCATGACAGGGTTTTCTGCCTCCTTAAGTATCTCTAATACCTAATGAGGGGCTCCTCGGACCCATCCTCCCAAACACCCTGCCCTGCCAGGGAAACCAATGCAGGGCCCTCCTGGGGTCCTCCTGCCCGGCACTGCTGGGGGGCTGCCTCTGCTTACCATCTGCCCTGTGCGGTGCCAGCCGTTCTGAGGCAGTCAAACTGCATTTAGGCTGCACCGTGCCAGGACTACCGGCAGATGAGGGCTTGTTGACGGCCTCCATACAAAAAACATCTTTGTATGCGTGAAACTAGCTGGCGAGGGGGAAGACACAGCTAGAACCCCAACCTCTGACCCGCTCATGTTCTGTCTGCAGGAACAGACCTCCCTTGATGGGTTTCTAAAACAAATTGAGATGCAATATGAAGAAATGTGTTTATTTCATACAACAAAGATGGTCCCACATTCACTAATACACAAGGATGGGTACAAATAAATGCACTGATAGTGCGATATGCTATCAAAACATGCAACAAGACTGTTGTTTTTAAATTAGCAAAATGGCGCACCTGAAGAGCCTACAACTGTATTCATTAGCAAGAAAATCAAGGCTCCAAAGCAGCAGCTCCAAAGCAGGCCAGGATTAAGACCCAGCCAACAGCGATCCAGGAAGCCCCCAGCTGAGCGCCTTCCGAGCAAGGCTTTGCCTGAGAAGAAGCCCCAAACAGCAAAGGCAGAGAACAGGAAGTGCTGGCTGCACACCTGGCAAACGCGGTGGCAAAGGGGGCATAACAAACCACTGACTTGTTTTTCCTATTTGCCCTTTTTAATTTAAAAAACCATCACACACTAGGCTACGCAGAATGCTGCACAGCAATTACCACTTTGGACGTTGACCTGAAAGATCAGAGATCAAAACCCAGTCAGTTGTGAAGCCTGGTGGGGGCTTTGGGTCTCCTCCTCCCCCTCCCCCCAAGCCTAGCCTGAGTCACTGAGATCCGTTGGGCTTTTTGTGTGGGGCTGCCTGTTTTGACCTGAAGGCCTTCTTGAAAGGGTCCGGCTCAACTGTCTCGGGTGCCATGCGACTGAGCATCACACCAGACCTGCCTGTGTGGGGCTGGAACGCTTGCAGTCACCCAGGCCAAGGGAGCTGGGGAGCAGCGTTCTAGCCCCAGGAGCTGGCCGGAAAGTTCACTGGGAGCTGGCTGTGGATATCACTCTCGCCAGAAAAGGGGGGCAGGTCCCAAGCCACGTGAATCTTAGGGAAAAGTGCATCCCCCTCAGGACTATTCAGGGGAAGGGAGGAATAGGATCTTGCCACCAACAGGGTGTAGATCTCACCACCTCCATTTGCAAGCAAAGATAGCTTGTACCTTTGCTTTCTCCTGGCAGCCCAACTTAGGGTCCCTATTCCCACAGCCGCACAAGTGCAGCTAAAAGAAAACCTTAAAGTAGAACAAATTATTCTGCAAAGAATGCGTGCAAAAATAATAAAAAAAATTATTACCCACTGGAAGCCCTTCCACGGTACTGCTTGGCACTTGGCAGGTTTGTCAAAGCAGGGATCTGGGAAGCCAAATGCCAAGCTGGGCTCACCGTCTCCAAAAATAGAAGTTGTAAAGGGGCCAAAAGCTCCTTTGAGCCAAGACCAACTAACAAGTGCAGTGGAGCGGACAGCAAGCCACTGCCAGCCACTGCCAAGCAGCCCCTGGGCACTGGAGGGAACTGGCACCGACGGGAGCCCAGGCAGGCCTGGAGAGGGTGGCCGGGGGCTTTGCAGCCTCTGCAGAACAGGGTTGCTGAGAAACATAAAAAGAGAGAAACAGGGCGAGCCAGAAGGGGCCTCCCGGGCCACCTAGTCCGACCCCCGGCTCCAGCCGGCTCCGCTCACGACATGCCCGCCATGTGCATGTCCAGCCTATCCTTGAACACCCGCACCAATCGGGCCTCAACCGTTGCTTTCCGATGTTTGTAGGATTCAAGACCCACTGCAGGGCCAACAACCCATGCAAAAGTCTGAGTGTTGTCGGGCCGGGGGGGGGGGGGCTTTTTGTCCTCAAACAAGCTACCCTGTAGAAATCGGTCCACGTCTGCATGATGTGACAACACATCTTGGGTGACAACCCATAATGACAGATTGTTGTGTCATGTGAACCCAGTCAGAGAGAACTGGCAGCTTTGGACGGATGGGGAGAAGCATGTGAATTGTTTGAAAACCATCAGATACTAGGAAGAACAAAAGCAAAAATACATGTAAAAATACATTTTAACAAGAGATTTTTGACTGGCAGAAGTCCTTCAGATATCTGGACGTGTGCCATGCAGACAATGGAGAAGAGTTCCCCTCTGTTCTTCCAGCAAGAACAGATTAGAATGAATGCTCTAAAATAAGAGCAACCACCACTAAAGCCAACTAGATTCCCCCTTGGACAGGAACCAGGCAGCCACCTTGTTCTCCAACCACCCAGCCCTTGGGATCCGAAGCTAATGGGTCTTGGACCCCTTGAACTCGATGGCTTTTTTCCATGGCTGTCCTTCCCCAGATTCACCCAGCAGACACCGTTCAGTTTTGAAGCACCTGACGGTTGCACCCCTTAGCTCCAGAGGTTTCCAGGAGACCTTGCTGGAATCAACTCAGCTTTTTGCAGCATCCCCATTTCCAGTAGACTCTGCCTCTAAAAGCCCAGTTGCGACCCAGGAAAGTCTTACTCAGGCGCCCTATAGAATTACAGAATCATAGAGCTGGAAGGGGTGAGAGGGCCATCGGGTGCCCTGCTCAGTACAAGACTCCAAGTTAAACCGTCCCTCTCGGATGGCTGTCCAGTTGTATCTTGAATGCCTCCACTTCTCTCGGCCATGGGTTCCATTGTCAACTGCTCTAATAGTCGGGAAAATCTTCCTGATGTCTGGCTGGAACCTGGCTTCCTGTCCCTTGAGCCTGTTATTCCAAGTCCTGCACTCTGGAATGATTGAGAGAAGACCCTGGCCCTCCTCTAGGTGGCAGCCTTTCAGGTACCTGTAGAGCGCCATCCTATCTCCCCTTGGTCTTCTCTTCTCAAGGCTAAGCACGCCCAGTTCTTCCCAGCTCTCCCCGTAGGGCTCTCCCCGGATCATCCTTGTTGCCCTCCTTGGAACCTTGCCAGCTTGTCAGCATCATTCTTAAATGGTGGTGCCCATAACTGGATCCAGTACTCCAGATGCTGAGTAGAGGGGTAGTAGTACTTCATGAGATTTTACTAGAAGAAAGCAGACTTCTAGTAATGCAGCCTAAAAGAGCATTTGCCCTCTTTGCAGCCACATCATGTTCTTGACTCTTATTCAAGTGGTGGTCTACAACGACTCCAAGATCATTCTCGCTTGCAGTATTGCTGAGCCACGTATTCCCCATCTTACTACGATGCATTTGGGGGTTTTTCCAAAGGCATTTCACCCAATTTAATTTCATTGTTGCTGTTGCGTTCAGCCTAGAGCTCCAACCTATCAAGATCACCTTGCAACTTACTGCTGTCTCCAGGGTCTGAGCTATCCCACCCAGTTTTGTGTCATCTGAAAATGTGATCAATGCTTCCCTGCACTTCCTCATCCAAGTCATTAAAGAAAATACTAAGGAGCACTGGGCCCAGGACTGAACCCAGCGGTGCCCCACTTGTTACCTCTCCCCACTTCGAGACGGTGCCTGTGACGAGCACTCTCCGAGTCCAGTTCTGCAGCCCCTAGTGGACCCACCTGAGCGTTCTTCCACCGAGCCCACTTGTAGCTACTTTGCTAATCAGGAGATCACGGGCACTTGGTCAAAAGCTTCGCTGAACTCAGCTCAGAGCATGTCCACACCATTCCCACAGTCCACCAGGGACGTTACCCAATCAAAAAGTGAAATCAGAGTAGCCTGGAATGGTGCAGCGAGGTGGTGGCCACCCCCGGGCTCGCATAATCAGAATGCGGGCCGGATAAATGGGCACGGTGGGCTGGATCCAGCCTGTGGGCTGCAGTTTGAGGACCCATGCTCTAGTTCCTTCCTCCCCTTTTCTTTGGAGGAAGTTGTCAGCAACACACATTAGGAATCTCTTGGCAGGGGCCATGTCTGGCAGAATTTGTCTCCCGGTAGATATTGGGGAAGTTGAAGGCCCCCATACTGAGGACATCATGGACCCTTGAAATACGGGCAATTTGCTTTTCAAAAGTTTCCTCCTCACCTCTTTGACTGGGTGGTCAAAGAGACTGCAACCACTGTGTTACTTTTATTCCTTCCTCCATTCACCCATCCAGAGGCTCTCAATGGGACTTACTAAACTCATCCTCCCGTATTTCTGCGCAGAGATATGTAACTTTAACATAATATCTGGTTTATTTGTTTGTTTTTTTGCTTGTTGCATTTGTACGCCACCCCACAGCCGGAGGGCTCTCTGGGCAGCTAACATAAAGTGCAACTCCATCTCCCTGCAGTTCCTTCTGTTCTTCTTGCTCTTCATTCTGTTCATCCGTGATGTTTCAGGCTTTCCTAACGAGTCGTATTCGCCCTCCTGAATGAAGGGTTCAGGGCATGCTGCTTGTTCCCCATACTCGGGGCATTAGCATACAGACGCCGGAGACCATGCGCTTTCTACTCCAGCTTTCTTCCTGCACTTTTGGAAGACACTGTTGGGCAGTGTTAGAGCAGCTGCCTCTGCTACGGAGCAGAAGCCTCTGTCTGCTAATGCCCATCTGTGCTTCTCCCTCCCTGGCAGGACCCTGCTTAAAGTCCCCCTGAGAAACACCTTAGCGCTGTGGCGGAACAGCTTCTT